CCGTCCAAAACAGTATTATACCCAAATCCTCATACAAGGAAGTTCTTGCCGTGAGAAAATAATTAGAACTCTCGTAGGTACTGAACCTGTAGTGGAATAATTGGCCATATCCTCATCTATCGAGTGTAGGTATTAAATCCTGCATGTGTGACAGTGCAGGAAAACCATCCTATGTGATGGAATATGATCGAAAAACCATCCTTATAATAATAATAATAATAATAATAATAATAATAATAATAATAATCTTCATTTCTACAGGTACATGATACAACTTATACAGATTTAGCTGACATCAGTGACATAACTATACAGAAAGCACCTGGTTATGCAGAACATTTAGGGCAACTTAGGTTAATTTTATCTCCAGGATGCGACCCACACCAGTCGGCTAACACCCAGGTACCTACTTGCTGCTAGGTGAACAGGGGCAGTAGGCGTCCTTAGGAAAGACGCCTAAATATTACCACCCATACTGGGGATCGAACCACGGACCTCAGCGTGTGAGCTAAATGCGCTACCAACCGAGCTGCAGAATTTTTAACGTAATCGGAGAAAAAGCATCCAGTGCGAGCGATGGAGTAACAGGAAAACGGTTCTATATGATGGAGTATGACCGGAAAAATCCCCCTGTATGAAGGAGTATGATAAGAAAAATCCTCCTGCATGAGGGAGTATGACCGGAAAACCATCTTGGGAGATGTGTTATGTCAACATACTTAACTCTTGGTTGGTCCAGGTAGTAGGTTGGTAGACAGCAACCACCCAGGGAAGTACTACCGTCCTGCCAAATGACTGTGAAACAAAAACCTGTAACTGTTTTGCATGATGGTAGGATTGCTGGTTTCTTTTTCTGTCTCATAAACACGCTAGATAACAGGGATATCTTGCTTCTCCTACTTACACTTTGGTCACACTTCACAGACACGCACATGCATATATATATACATACATCTAGGTTTTTCTCCTTTTTCTAAATAGCTCTTGTTCTTTTTATTTCTTCTATTGTCCATGGGGAAGTGGAAAAGAATCTTTCCTCCGTAAGCTATGCGTGTCGTATGAGGCGACTAAAATGCCGGGAGCAATGGGCTAGTAACCCCTTCTCCTGTATACATTTACTAAAAAAGAGAAGAAGAAAAACTTTATAAAACTGGGATGCTTAAATGTGCGTGGATGTAGTGCGGATGACAAGAAACAGATGATTGCTGATGTTATGAATGAAAAGAAGTTGGATGTCCTGGCTCTAAGCGAAACAAAGCTGAAGGGGGTAGGAGAGTTTCAGTGGGGGGAAATAAATGGGATTAAATCTGGAGTATCTGAGAGAGTTAGAGCAAAGGAAGGTGTAGCAGTAATGTTAAATGATCAGTTATGGAAGGAGAAAAGAGAATATGAATGTGTAAATTCAAGAATTAGGTGGATTAAAGTAAAGGTTGGATGCGAGAAGTGGGTCATAATAAGCGTGTATGCACCAGGAGAAGAGAGGAATGCAGAGGAGAGAGAGAGATTTTGGGAGATGTTAAGTGAATGTATAGGAGCCTTTGAACCAAGTGAGAGAGTAATTGTGGTGGGGGACCTGAATGCTAAAGTAGGAGAAACGTTTAGAGAGGGTGTGGTAGGTAAGTTTGGGGTGCCAGGTGTAAATGATAATGGGAGCCCTTTGATTGAACTTTGTATAGAAAGGGGTTTAGTTATAGGTAATACATATTTTAAGAAAAAGAGGATAAATAAGTATACACGATATGATGTAGGCGAAATGACAGTAGTTTGTGGATTATGTATTGGTAGATAAAAGACTGTTGAGTAGACTTCAGGATGTACATGTTTATAGAGGGGCCACAGATATATCAGATCACTTTCTAGTTGTAGCTACACTGAGAGTAAAAGGTAGATGGGATACAAGGAGAATAGAAGCATCAGGAAGAGAGAGGTGAAGGTTTATAAACTAAAAGAGGAGCCAGTTAGGGTAAGATATAAACAGCTATTGGAGGATAGATGGGCTAATGAGAGCATAGGCAAGGGGGTCGAAGAGGTATGGGTAGTTTAAAAATGTAGTGTTAGAGTGTTCAGCAGAAGTTTGGGGTTTTACAGGAAAGTGGGTGCAGGAGGGAAGAGGAGCGATTGGTGGAATGATGATGTAAAGAGAGTAGTAAGGGAGAAAAGTTAGCATATGAGAAGTTTTTACAAAGTAGAAGTGATGCAAGGAGGGAAGAGTATATGGAGAAAAAGAAAAGAGGTTAAGAGAGTGGTGAAGCAAGTAAAAAGAGAGCAAATGAGAGAGTGGGTGAGATGTTATCAACAAATTTTGTTGAAAATAAGAAAAATTTTTTGGAGTGAGATTAACAAGTTAAGAAAGCCTAGAGAACAAATGGGTTTGTCAGTTAAAAATAGGAGAGGAAGTTATTAAATGGAGAGTTAGAGGTATTGGGAAGATGGAGGGAATATTTTGAGGAAATTTTTAAATGTTGATGAAGATAGGGAAGCTGTGATTTCGTGTATAGGGCAAGGAGGAATAACATCTTGTAGGAGTGAGGAAGAGCCAGTTGTGAGTGTGGGGAAGTTCGTGAGGCAGTAGGTAAAATGAAAGGGGGTAAGGCAGCCGGGATTGATGGGATAAAGATAGAAATGTTAAAAGCAGGTGGGATATAGTTTTGGAGTGGTTGGTGCAATTATTTAATAAATGTATGGAAGAGGGTAAGGTACCTAGGGATTGGCAGAGAGCATGCATAGTTCCTTTGTATAAAGGCAAAGGGGATAAAAGAGAGTGCAAAAATTATAGGGGGATAAGTCTGTTGAGTGTACCTGGTAAAGTGTATGGTAGAGTTATAATTGAAAGAATTAAGAGTAAGACGGAGAATAGGATAGCAGATGAACAAGGAGGCTTTAGGAAAGGTAGGGGTGTGTGGACCAGGTGTTTTTCAGTGAAACATATAAGTGAACAGTATTTAGATAAGGCTAAAGAGGTCTTTGTGGCATTTATGGATTTGGAAAAGGCGTATGACAGGGTGGATAGGGGGGCAATGTGGCAGATGTTGCAAGTGTATGGTGTAGGAGGTAGGTTACTGAAAGCAGTGAAGAGTTTTTACGAGGATAGTGAGGCTCAAGTTAGAGTATGTAGGAAAGAGGGAAATTTTTTCCCAGTAAAAGTAGGCCTTAGACAAGGATGTGTGATGTCACCGTGGTTGTTTAATATATTTATAGATGGGGTTGTAAGAGAAGTAAATGCGAGGGTCTTGGCAAGAGGCGTGGAGTTAAAAGATAAAGAATCACACACAAAGTGGGAGTTGTCACAGCTGCTCTTTGCTGATGACACTGTGCTCTTGGGAGATTCTGAAGAGAAGCTGCAGAGATTGGTGGATGAATTTGGTAGGGTGTGCAAAAGAAGAAAATTAAAGGTGAATACAGGAAAGAGTAAGGTTATGAGGATAACAAAAAGATTAGATGATGAAAGATTGAATATCAGATTGGAGGGAGAGAGTATGGAGGAGGTGAACGTATTCAGATATTTGGGAGTGGACGTGTCAGCGGATGGGTCTATGAAAGATGAGGTGAATCATAGAATTGATGAGGGAAAAAGAGTGAGTGGTGCACTTAGGAGTCTGTGGAGACAAAGAACTTTGTCCTTGGAGGCAAAGAGGGGAATGTATGAGAGTATAGTTTTACCAACGCTCTTATATGGGTGTGAAGCGTGGGTGATGAATGTTGCAGCGAGGAGAAGGCTGGAGGCAGTGGAGATGTCATGTCTGAGGGGAATGTGTGGTGTGAATATAATGCAGAGAATTCGTAGTTTGGAAGTTAGGAGGAGGTGCGGGATTACCAAAACTGTTGTCCAGAGGGCTGAGGAAGGTTGTTGAGGTGGTTCGGACATGTAGAGAGAATGGAGCGAAACAGAATGACTTCAAGAGTGTATCAGTCTGTAGTGGAAGGAAGGCGGGGTAGGGGTCGGCCTAGGAAGGGTTGGAGGGAGGGGTAAAGGAGGTTTTGTGTGCGAGGGGCTTGGACTTCCAGCAGGCATGCGTGAGCGTGTTTGATAGGAGTGAATGGAGACAAATGGTTTTTAATACTTGACGTGCTGTTGGAGTGTGAGCAAAGTAACATTTATGAAGGGGTTCAGGGAAACCGGCAGGCCGGACTTGAGTCCTGGAGATGGGAAGTACAGTGCCTGCACTCTGAAGGAGGGGTGTTAATGTTGCAGTTTAAAAACTGTAGTGTAAAGCACCCTTCTGGCAAGACAGTGATGGAGTGAATGATGGTGAAAGTTTTTCTTTTTCGGGCCACCCTGCCTTGGTGGGAATCGGCCAGTGTGATAATAAAAAATAATACTTAACTCTTGTTCCAACCTTGTGAAATGTCCTTTAGATCAAGATGGTCAGATAATGTAATTGCATCCAATTGTCTTCATTAAAAATAATACATAAGTGGATCTGGTTTATCAGAATTGCGCATGCAAGAATATAAAGGAGCTTTATGGCAGGTATTTTACATAGAAGTATCAGGTGATTCATCATCGCATCACCGGAAAAAAGTTTATCAATGTTCATTACAATGCTTCGTAATTTTTATTATTGATTCGAACGCTTTCCTCTTTATATACATCGTTGTTTTAATAAAATGCGTCGTACTTTAAAAAAATATTTTTACCCTCAACAGTGACCTATCTCACTGTACTTAATGATAGAAAAACATTAAAAATGAATATGTCTATTTATTCACAATCTGAGATATATTTTCCTTGTTAAATACTTATTGACTCTAACTGAACAATAATAGACGTCAGTCTGCCTCCCCTGATACATTATTATCCTCGTATTTTGTGACTATGTATTTAAAAAGCAGCGACAGTTGTATGTTATAAAAAACTCATTATTATAATGATTATATAATAGAAAAGTTATTATATTATTGAATGTGTACAAGTTGAAGGTACGTCTGGCAGTGTTGTGCTGGGTTTCCTCTGAGCATCATCATGAAGATTGTGATGGTGAGACATTCTTCCTGTGTTTTCATCACTCGGCTGCTTTATTCACTTCAAACACACTGCTAAATGTCTGCTGGAACGCAACACTTAATGAAAATTGATAAGAGCCCTGAGACAGAGCTGTGAAGTTGAGAGAGGCGCTGATACATGGCAACTGAAGGCTTGGCTGGACTGAGGTAAGGTTTGCGTATTAACGCAAACCTTAACTTCACTAGCCAAGAGTTACTTACACCGTCAACACCTGACAATTCAGCTTAGCAACTGCTAAATATTTTCCGGGAAAAAATTTAATGTGAAGCAGTGGACTCCTTCAGTTACACTTGCAAACTAATACATGACACGTACCTTTTTCACACTAAATATCGAACAATCTGCTGTGATATAATCTTATCAACGATCTACAAGAGCATCTATTTACCAGAATATCAAGTGGTTATTAATATTATCTTGAAGAGATGCGAGTGTTCGGGTGGGAGAGCTGGAGAGGGTCATTCCGGGGCCAGAGCTCCGGCAGTGACCCAGGGGACACACATACTTCCTCTACATCTCACTCCTCCCACCACCACGACACCGACACCAACATGAGTCTTACGCCACATAAGGAAGAGCTCCTCTCACAGGTCAGTCTGGTCTATGGTGTTTGGCGAAAAACGCGTAATTATAACCGGCGAGCGTGTTATTATGTGTGAGGCTTGACATAGGTGCCTCCCTGCAGTCTTGTTATTGTCTCCAGGACTCTGCAACTTCCTCATCTTATATACTGTATTTTCTCTATAATTCCCGTGGTAGCGTTAGTAATGACACATAAGTTGTCACATCTCGAATTTTGTAACTTGGTCAAAACTGGAGATGGAAATACGTACTTAATTTTTGATAATATTAATAAATAAACAAAACTTGTCACGTGTAGAAAACGGATGTAAACCTGACACTATAATAGTGACTTCCTCTCCAGTGTATCAACAAGCTTACTTTTTGACCATGACAGCTCATTATTATGACACATTGGGAAAAAATGCTGTTCATGATGGAGGAAGACCGTGTTGATATTCGAAGATGCTACACCTCCCATGTTGCAATTTGAATATTGGTTTGTTTTTATATAATTAATGATGTTCTTCACTACACTTGAACAAAAATGCAATAAACTATCACATACAAAAATACAATAATAGGCTTGTCAAGTATACCTACAGTGGAGAACTGAGAAGAGCTGCGCTTGTTCAGCAGTATATATGTTTCTTTACTATTCTGAATCATGTCAGAGCTAGTCCAGGGTCCTCACTTTATATCCTTGTTAAATACTTTATATAGTTCAGACACTGACTTGATTTCTACTATAATTTATAGCGAGGTTTTAAATATTAAGATATTACAAAGACCCCGGTGGAAATAAGTCACTTCAACTTTTTTGGGTTATCCTAGGTAATTTAAGCGTGTTATACTATGTATTATAATTATATTTATGTATACCTAATAAACTTATTAAGTTTAAGAGAGAAGCCAGCAGTGGAAGGAGTGACTAATGTATTGATCGCGTTGAGTTGCAGTATGTCCGTTAGAGTTCACATTTTATTTGATAATTTCGATTGCCCTTTTCTCTACGTAGCCTCAAAGAAATTAACATAAATTTATGAGTGTAATAAATGTATAATGGGACACTCGGCATGATACTAAATTGAAAAAAATACTACAAGAAGCTTATATGTCGCAAAGTAACTATATAGTGATTATTATTATTATTATTATTATTATTATTATTATTATTAGTATAGTAGTAGTAGTAGTAGTAGTAGTAGTAGTAGTAGTAGTAGTAGTAGTAGTAGTAGCAGCAGCAGTAGTAATACATTCATGGGGAGCACTAAACCAGTAGAGGTCATAAAGCATCTTTGGTAATGGGAAGCAATCAACTACTGTGATTCAGGAAAAGGGAAGACAGCTCCAGTCCCTTAGATCAAGAGCAACTCGCCGGTATCAATGCTCCCCCTCCTCAGGAGAGGTGTGAGGTAAACTATATAGGGAAGACAGAAGCACTGTCCCTTATGTGTTTAGCGCTTAGTTATGGTTATAATAATAATAGGGAAGAAGGAGTAGGCAAAAACCTTTCAAAAGGTCATAACACTGTTTACACAATGTATTTACTTTAATACATATTCTTGACTGGTGGTGAATAAGTTACATGCAGCTTTTATTTATGACCCATTGAGCAGTCGATAGGCTTTAAACCCAATTAACTAATTAACCATAGGCACTGTGGAAAATACTGTATATATTTTCCAGAAATTCAGTATTTATATGTAAATAGATGGCCATACTGTATTTAATAATATTTACGTCATAGAAAACGGAAAGCCTGCGTCTGTGCAGACGAGACTCGCCATCTTAGTTTTTTGAATTTTGTACAAACGTTGGTGTAATGGGAAGAATTTTTCGTGCTCTAGAGGTTAAAATTGTGTTGACACCTCTCAAATAGGAGGCGAAATTGGTGGATGTGCATTCCTGCATAACTTGAGATATCAGACGACTGGACAAGACAGCTCCAGGAACCTCAGATAAGCTCTCTAGATTTGTGTGTAATTCTGGCCAGCATTATTTTCATAGATTTAGTTAGAGTGAGGTTTTCTGAGTATGATATACATTAATCTCCAGTCAAATTGGTGAGTGATATTAAGATATATTTTCCTTCTGTTATGTAATTGTGTATATGTATAACCATTTATTATTTTTAATATACAGTCCACAAATTTATATATTTACCAGTATTCCTGGTGTATGTATATTTCATTTAATTAATAGGTCCAGAGCAACTTGTGGTTATGACAGTGGTAGGTATCGAAGGGGGACATTTTTTGCGACCTACGTGTCCCAAATTCCTACTTGTCTATGTAACATTGATAAATAATAATTATCTTTGTTATCATTTACTGTTATGTACATAATTAGTTACATTCAGATAAATACAATTTTCCACAGGCACAGTTTTCCGAAATGCTGTGCATACTACAGGCTTTGTGTTAGTACTGTATTCATCATTTTGTAATACTTTTAAGCAACGATACACAAAGTGCACTAAATTTAGTGATTAAATTTGTTTTAGATATGTTCGTGTTTATTCATTTTCAAAATAAGAAGCTGTCCATATAGGACTACATGTTACTCTCCTTAGGATATTTCAAACCTAGCTCAAATACCCATCCAAGCGAGTACCTCACTGGCAACTATCCAAATACTCTATTTCTAGCTCCAACTAATCCCAACTAATCAGTAAAAAACTAATCTCAACTAATCAGTAAAAAACAGGTGATCTAGATAACTTGCTGCCACTCACAAAAAAGCTGCACCAGAACTGTCGCCCATTATTGCAACAATATTTAACAAATCTATAGCATCCTCAACCTTCCCATCCATACTCAAGACAAGGGTCACCCCGATCCACAAAGGTGGAATTCTAAGTGATTTGAACAGTTACAGACCCATATCAAACTTGCCCTTACTCTCCAAGATATTTGAAAAAATAATACACAAGCGACTTTACTCCCACCTTACATTCACCAATATACTTAATCCATGCCAGTTTGGATTTAGACCAAAAAAAGAGAGAGAGAGAGAAAGCACGAATGATGCTATTATACAAATGCTTGACCTAATATACACAGCTCTCGATAAGAATGAATATCCCCTGGGGCTCTTTATCGACCTACGAAAAGCGTTTGACACAGTCGACCACAATCTCTTGCACCTCACACTGAATCATTTCGGCATAAGAGGACATTCTCTTTATCTAAAATCCTATCTTAACGACAGACACCAGTATCTACATGCAAATGGAGTCAACTCCTTTATCCAACCTGTAACTGTAGGAGTACCCCAAGGTAGTGTCCTAGGTCCACTCCTCTTTCTCATCTGCATCAATGATCTCCCCAATGCATCTCAACTCCTTACACCAGTTCTATTCGCAGATGACACTACATGTCTACTCCCATTCAGACCCAGCTGTGCTTGAAAACACTGTAAACAATGAACTGCTAAAGATATATGCTTGGATGATGACCAACAAACTCACACTCAACATAGACAAAACATACTTCATGCTGTTTGGCAGCAGAGCCTCAAATATTCAACTCAACATACTGTTAAATGGCTCCCCTATATCAAGACACACGGAGGGCAAATTTCTAGGTCTTCTCCTTGACTGTAATCTTAAATTTCAGTCCCATACCCATCATATAGCCAAGAAAGTTTCCAAATCAGTAGGAATCCTTTCCAAGATGCGCTAGTATGTACCACAAACGACTCTCCTTACCATGTACCACTCTCTAATATATCCTTAGCTCACCTATGGTATCTGTGCCTGGGGCTCAACCACTGCCAACCACCTTAGACCCTTAATAATCCAACAAAAAGCTGCTGTGCGGGTGATAACCTGCTCCTGTGCTAGACAACACACCCCACCACTTTTCAAAAGACTCAACTTGCTAAATATACAAGACATACACTCTTATTATTGTGCCTACTACATATACAGAACTTGAAACTCCACTGTAAACCCTACCCTAAAACTACTCCTCGACAGTTACAACAGAATGCACAGTCACAGTACAAGGCATAAGGCACTTTTCAACATCCCTCGAGTAAGACTCACTATGCAAGAACGCTATGCACATAAAAGGCCCAAAGATCTGGAACTCGCTACTGGAACAGGTCAAGGATCCCCAGACAACTTATAAATTTAGGACTCTGCTAAAAAATCATCTTATCTCACAATATTAACCAAATCAACCAAACATCTACTGACTAGTTTTGTCATGTGACCACCTGGCTTTTAATTCTGCCATTCCATAAAATATTAAAACCTGCACCATTCCTTGTAAATTAGATTTTCTACTAAGTATACATAAGATTTATTAAGTCAAAATAAAATTGTAAAACAGCTAACCACTATTTTATGTTTAGTTTTAAGTATAATTACTATGTACTATTCTCTTATCTAGTTTTAATTAGTTACTATGTATTAGGATTAGTTTGCCCGAAATGCCTGGGCATGACAGTGGCTATCTTTGTACTTAGCAAATCAAAATTGTAATTACAGATTGTAACCTTTACAAAGAAATAAACTTTATTATTATTATTATTATTATTATTATTATTATTATGTAAATTATAATAATATAGGGCTTTATTTATGCTCAGTTATGTGTTACATCTAAAACCTGTATGCTTACATTAATACTAATAAGCTCAATTTACTGTAGGTGCGGAGAATGTTGGGTTTCTGATCTCGGTTAGGAGAATGCAGATGTAATATACACAGACTTTGCAAAAGTATTTGACAAATGCGATCATGGCGTAATAGCCCATAAAATACGTTCTAAAGGAATAACTGGGAAAGTGGGGAGATGGATCTTCAACTTCCTAACAAATCGAACACAAAGAGTAGTGGTCAACAGAGTTAAATCGGAGGCTGCCATAGTGAAGAGCTCTGTTCCACAAGGCACAGTACTCGCCCCCATCTTATTCCTTATCCTCATATCAGACATAAACAGAGATGTACACCACAGCACCGTATCATCCTTTGCGGATGATACTAGGATCTGCATGAGGCTGTCATCTGCTGAGGACG